AGCCTCCCCGCCTGCTCTTCATTCCCCTCTTGCCCTGCTTGAGCCGGATGTAAACAAGCCGCAGTAACTTTCTTCAAGCTTCCAAGATTTCTCCTCAGCCCCACGGCGATCTCTCATGATAAGTCACTCTCTCTCTGCCCTTTCTCGCTCTCTCTCTCTCTGAAATGTCAGCTTGGTACAGGATATATATATTCTAAGGCAGTGTTAATGGAAAACTGTTGAGTGCTTTATTCATTTGTGCTAAAACCCCTTTCAAGGCCACAGAAGATGCAATCAGAGCTGCCTTTATTACCCGACAATGACGTGTGTGTGTGTGTTTCACCTGGTGCTAATTTAGGGATGTGATTGAACCACTGTGTGGGCTATGGTGGAGACGTGGCGTGGTCGCCTCTGATGTTGTGGGCACGGTGCCTCACGGCAGTGGCTTCCCCATCGCCTGTGAGCCTCTGACATTTACCTTCTGCTCACCAGAACCCCCCAGGGCCAGACTGGAACATAAACCCTGCCAACTCAGGGTCCCTTCACTCAGTGGAGCAGCAGCCTCTGGGCATTATGGGAGGAATCATATTTCACAACACGGGGAGAGGGGGCGACCTACACGTGGATGAAACTGTAATACTAACGACAACACACCACAGCTGCCAAAGAGCGGGATTTGAAGGTCCCTGTGGCCCAGATCTCCTAGGACAGCTGCCGTCTCAACAAGAGGCCACTCCTGGGAAGACCAGGACGGGTGGCAACTCGAGATGCACGTCTCGGGTTGCCACCTGTTGGGGTTTGACCAGAACAGGCATGACCCAGACATTGCGGGAATTGGCGTCTGGGTTCAGGTGGTAGGAATTGATTCGTGCCGAGATCTGCTCGCGGGATTGCTCTTGAACTTTGTACTGCACAGTTGTAATAGGCCGAGGCTGACTTTGGCAACTCTTTTTCGCATGCCGAGCAAGGAGAAAATGCCAACATTTAGAATGTTGAGATCCGTCAGGCATGGTATGGACAGGCACTGTAAAGGGTTCAAAGGTGGAACAACTGGACGGTTGGCATCCCTCCACACACACGGCCTCGTGGCTGGCGTGACCTCGTAACAGCACCCAGGCCTCGTGATGGCAAAGTGACCCTAAGACGCTTTAGATAATTTGATGGAAGTCTTTGGACTTGCAGTGGCTTAGATATTATAATGGATAAGGCTATAAGGCCTTGAGGCTTAGGCCTTGAGTCTGCTTAGACAGGGAAAGCACATAGTGCTTTTATATCGGTGTTTTATTTTACAATATGGAAAGATTAACTTTATTGATATTTGTTTTTGAAAAGAAAGTTGAGGAAAAATATTACTTTGCCAAAGAGGCATTGATAACAATCTTAGCGAAAATTGAATGTATTGGTACGTTACAATATGTCAGTATGATGACATCCTGTGGGCAAGAGTAGCGGTGGTGTCGCGGTTCGCACACTGCCGTGTGAGCTCGGCCACTTCAATGCAGCGCACTTGACATTCAAATATATACCCACGACTGAAATGACAAAGGGATGTCTTCAGCCAGCAGTGGATTGACCAAAGCCTGCAAATCGTTCCTTGTTGTTGTCACGTACTGTTGGGGGGGGGGGGGGGGGGCACAACAGAGGCGCTTCGCGGCGCAGGCTCCAACAGTCACGCAGGCACTCGTGGTGGCACTGGGCATGAGTTAAACTACAACACCGACGGCTCAACAGTACAACGCCTTCACGGTACACGACTACGAAATGCCTTCCGGACGAGTTGGACACCGACTCAGCAAAGTGATTGCAGGGCTGCCCCTTGACGTCACATCGTGATTTGTAATGATAACAAAAGTTACGACGCCTGGAACGATGGTCGCCTTCGCGACAACATCAATTGTCGCGAATCGGGGTCGCTCTTCAATTCTCGAATCATGTTTTTTTTATTGTGGTGAATGTAGTGGCCTCGAGTGGCAGTAAGGGTCGTGTGAATCCATGACGTTCGAGGTATGCAAATCGGGAATGAGCGACTCTGACACGCACGGTGTAGGCCGAGCGTAAGGATCGATGTCAGCGACGATGGAACAAGGACATCCTCGCCAGCGGTGCTCTGCACCCAGGACAGTCTCACGCTGAGTCTCGAGACGTCTGCAGGAGGGTCCTGCTGCTTTGCAATGTTTGGCCAACTCCAAAAATGAACCCAGAGAAAACCCCGCTCTGACTTAAGAGAGTAAAATTGTCTACATTCGGCATGAACCCATAAATATGAATAAGCAACTGTCTGCATTTCGATGGGATTAGCATCACGGCTGCTGCTGCTGCTGGGCCCTTGATGCGCCACTTGGCATGCGCACGCATGAAGCCTCGGTTCCTCCCGATTCGTCAAGGGAACTCGCCGCTTTGTCTTCTCCTTCTGGAGGGACGTGCCGGCTCGCCGACAAGCCCTGCGCTCCACATCGCCTCGAAAACACACAACACTCGCCGTGGAAACAAACGTTCTAATCCGCATACTTAGGATCGCCTAGGAGGGAGGGCGGTGTCCTGATGCTTCCCCTCGTGGCGTGGAGAAGCAGTTTGCAGAGAGCAGAAATCACTTTTCGGAGAGAGCGATGGGAATCAAATAAGTTTTCTTGCGACTAAAAAGAAAAATTAATCTGGCGCTCGGCAGTGAAGCCTCAAACCTCAGAGCCCGGCAGCGCGTGGCCTCACGGCGTGAGAGATGGATGACAAACAGGGCCCGAGTAGCGTCGCGCTCCAAACTCGGGTTGTGAGCGAAGTGAGGAGGAAGTGAAGCGAAGTGGAAGTCGATCAACGCCACCCAACTCCGCACCGCGCGCCCGCCCACTCGCCACGGCGCAGCGGTCCCGGCGACGTCTCTCACGGACACGGCGTCCGACGTTTTTGCCCCACGTGCCGGAATCTTCTCCAGGAGCCTGGAATTGTGGGAGCGAAACTGAATTCGTTGCCGAAGAAGCCCCCCCCCCCCCCCTCGGCACGTGGGACGAAGCGTTGGACATCGTCGCCGAACAGCGCGCGGCACCGGACCGATTCGCAGCCGCGAGAATCTCCGCAGCCGCCCGCGAGGAATCGATGTGGAGATGCGACGCATCTCGCCACTCCGCACGCGCCGCGTGCTCTCGGCGACGATTGTTTGACGCGCACACCGACAGGCCACTCATCGTGAGCAGCACTGGGGGTCAGTCCACTGCTGGATGAATTCCTCCCCAAGCTACCACCTCTCTCCCACGGCATCGCACCCTCGTGCAGAGCAACGCCTCGTTCGAGAACTTTCATTCCCACGACTCCAATCGCTTTCATTCCCACGAGTTTCATTATTTAATTCCCAGGACTTCAATCGCTTCACCACTTTCACTTGTGTTAGTTCCAGCACTGCACAATAATGAGGGAATGGAGAAATGAATGTATTAAACGTTTGGATTAATTAACATAAATATATAAAAATGTTAAGAAAACATTACAAAGTACTTAAAATAAGACGTTGTATACTAAGGCGTGATCTGGTGACGCTGCTGCTCCGACTGGCAGTGGTGCACAAGCACAGTGAATATAAAGAAATAAACTCGTTCGCCAGAAGTTGCAAACAATGATCTCAGCACCCGCTCAATCCGAAGCGTGCACCGTGAGCTCAAGAATCGATGATAACCGAGGAAAGATCGATTCGTCGTTACGGCCGCAGCCCCAACACCGGTTCAAGCGCGGACTTCTCTGCGCGTGTTGATCCTCTCGCCACCGTCGTCACCCCGACTCCGGCTCTGCCCGCACGAGGCCGTGGCCCCCAGCAGAGCGGCAGCCACGGAGCTGGTGGCACATATTTAGTGACGCCAGATTGTGTGTACGGCTAATACAATTGAACGATGCGATCACTTATTAAATAAAGTTCATGCATAATTTACTTGCATTGGCATAATTCGCGCTGTTGGCATTGGGCCACTCGCGAACGCGTCCCGACAACACGCGGAAGGTGCGGACACGATCAGGGGACTCGGCCAGACTGCGAACGCGGCCAAGCGGAAACCAGCAGGCGGATATCACCGAGGACTTCCCAATACGAACTACGCGCGCTCTGGTGGAACAAAGTGCGCGTGTTGCGTTGGGGTAGTGGGACGGTTCGCAACATTAAACACAATTATAGCCCTCGTGATGTTCTTTTTCCAATGCCATACGAAACAAGGAGAACCGCTAATCGCATTTTTTTTGGTATTTCCGCTGCCACAGCCAGCGAGTCCTCGGGGTGTCTCGGGCCGGGGCCCGTACCAGACGCGGCACCTCTGACGGGAGACTCGCGGCTGTGCGTGCCGCCACTTTGCCGCTGGTCACGCCGAGACATCGATTCCTTTCCGGGGGGTGGGGGGGGGGGGGGCAGCTCGTGCGTAATTTCATTCCGCGTTCCGCAGGTTTACGCTGTAATCTCACGAGCGACTGAGCGACAGCATTAGGCTTAGATGCTGAGCTCTGCTCACGGCTTTAGGGGTTGATTTCCCCTAATTGGATTGTTTAATTGAAAGTGCAAGGGCTTTATTTACAGGAACGCGTGCGATGACGTGTGTGTGTGCGTGTGCGCGTGTTTCTGCGTCTTTGGGGCAAGTTCTGTGGGAACTGTGTCTTTGTGCGTGAGGAAGGTAACGCAATGATTCGCGCGCTGTGCTACGAACCCGGCGACCCGAGTTATATTCCCGCTCACAGCTGACACCAATGACGATGATTTGAAATGGTCATGGGCCTTCCCTAGGTCGATTCAGCCTTAAGGTGCGGGTGGCGACGAATTAGCGGGGAGGGGGGGAGTGGTTTCATCCATCAGCCATGGATTGTCATGACTGAAGGTGATGATGAAAACCCTTCCAAGCCGACGTGGTCATATCTTTTAAGAAGTAACCACTAACCCCTCAATACCTCTTCCATCCCCCCCTGTCCTCCTCCGCCGTCCTCTCTCCTCTCCTCTTCTTCCCCCTTGTCTCCTCCTTCGCTCCCCTTCCCGCTCTGTCTCCCCCTCCCTCCTACTCCAGATGGACCACGACCCCAGGACGCCCGTGTACATCGCAGCCCAGGGTCCACTGGCCAACACCGTGGTCGACTTCTGGCAGGTGAGGGCCTTGCCATCTCGAGGCCACACGCGACCTCTGACGCCCACGTAGCCGCTGCCGGGTCGAGGCCTAGCCGCGAGGACTGCTGCAGTTGTTTGGCCACTAGCAGGGCATGGCACCTGGAACATGCATCACAGGTGTTATAGGCTGCTGCGGGGATCCGTTGTCGGCCCGAGGGCAGTGCAGCAGAATCCCGCGGTTGTAACGCACCACGCTCCACCGACACACACTGGCCAGAGTGGTGAAGTATGGTCAAACAAACACCGCACCTTCGATATGGCGTGGGAAAACACTTCCTCTCGGAGTGCACTAACAAAGGACCGCAAATAATGAAAATGCTATAAAATAACAACGCTCATTTCTGGTACATTGCGAGCGGACTTCTCCGCGACTGACGTCGGGACTCGGACCGGACGTTAGCGGGCGGTTCGCTCGCAGGCAGAGCCATGGCGACGCCGTGCGTACTGATCGACTACACATCGGTTACTGATCGACTACACATTGGTTACTGATCGACTACGGCAGATGGCACGTGTTGAAGAGGACCGCGGGGAGAGACGGAGAGAAATTTCAATTTGGGTTCTACAGAAACAGCAGCAACAAGAATATTAAGAAAGTTCAAAATAAAGCACATCAAAGTAAAAGGGAAAGAGAAGGAGCGGGGGAGTGAATGGGCACGGGCTGACGGTGGCAGAGAGATGCATGCGGCAACACTCGGAGCTCTCTCCCTCACCTCCCTCACCTCCCTCACCTCCCTCTCTTCACTCGCCCCCCTCACCTCCCTCCCTCACCTCCCTCCCTCACCTCCCTCACCTCCCTCCCTCACCTCCCTCACCTCCCTCTCTTCACTCGCCCCCCTCACCTCCCTCCCTCACCTCCCTCACCTCCCTCTCTTCACTCGCCCCCCTCACCTCCCTCCCTCACCTCCCTCCCTCACCTCCCTCACCTCCCTCACCTCCCTCCCTCACCTCCCTCACCTCCCTCTCTTCACTCGCCCCCCTCACCTCCCTCCCTCACCTCCCTCACCTCCCTCTCTTCAATCGCCCCCCTCACCTCCCTCCCTCACCTCCCTCCCTCACCTCCCTCACCTCCCTCACCTCCCTCCCTCACCTCCCTCACATCCCTCCCTCCCTCTCTCACCTCACTCACCTCCCCCCCTCACCTCCCTCACCTCCCTCCCTTCCTCACCTCCCTCCCTCACCTCCCTCCCTTCACTCGCCCCCCTCACCTCCCTCCCTCCCTCTCTCACCTCCCTCACCTCCCTCTCTTCACTCGCCCCCCTCACCTCCCTCCCTCACCTCCCTCACCTCCCTCTCTTCAATCGCCCCCCTCACCTCCCTCCCTCACCTCCCTCCCTCACCTCCCTCACCTCCCTCACCTCCCTCCCTCACCTCCCTCACATCCCTCCCTCCCTCTCTCACCTCACTCACCTCCCTCCCTCACCTCCCTCACCTCCCTCACCTCCCTCCCTTCCTCACCTCCCTCCCTCCCTCACCTCCCTCCCTTCACTCGCCCCCCTCACCTCCCTCCCCCAGCAGCGATCACTCGCGCATTGCTCCACTGTGGAAATGTCCAATTGATTTCCTGACTCGGGAGCCACTCCTCGTGTCCTCGTTTTGAGAAAGTATTTGTCCCGTCGATATTGAGTGACTTGCCGCGCTCTTTGGTGGGTTTTTATTGCTTAAAAAAAACATTCGCTCTCGATGGAGGCGAGGACGGGAGGGGGTGCTCTATGTTTTATTATATATCATAGTTTATTGCGAGCAGCTGCTTGTAACGTAGAGCTGTCTTGCAAACATTTACTGCCTCGTATCTCCTAGCTCGTCGTGTCTGCAGCCTCAAACCGAGAAGAATGGGCACTTGGGCCATTATTTATTTATCTATCTATCCCGCTTTCCAAGAGCGGCCGCGAGCGGTGGCTTTGACGCCGAGCCGTGCCGGGACACGCGCCGTGTCGCCCCCAACGCGCCCAATCTCCGCTGCTCCTGCGCTATGCTGAGCAGGCTTGAGCCTGAGCAGCACCTATGTATGTTGAACTTTTTTCGCACCGTAATTAGCCAACCGTGCTAATCGGAGGTGCTAGAGGGGAGGCTGCCTCGGAATATCAGGCGTATCAGGCGTTATAGGTTGGGGCTGCGAGGTGACCAGCAGATGGCCCTAGAGCAATCCTGAATCTGTCCGTGCGGCGCTTTGAGTATTATCTCCTCATGTTCCTGGTGGGGTTTCCTTACACGTGAAGCTGCTCAGTAGACGCGCCTCTCTTCAAACGTAGCGGTCGCGCAGCGGTGAGCGCGCTGTGCTACGAACCCGGAGAAACGGGGTTGAAACCGGCGACCCGGATTTGATTCCCTCTCACGGTCAACACCAGTGACGATTATCTGAACTGGAACTGGGCCTTCCCTAGGTCGACTCAGCTTCAAATGAGTAGCTGGTGCGGTGTGTCGTGAACACCGTCATTCGAGAGACAAAGGCGGCCGGGCATGGAGCTGGCCACCCACCACCTCGTGTTTCATGCCGGCCTTCATACGTGCTCTCTAACAGCACTTGCCCCAAAAGTCTTTTAAGGCTACACGGGGTATATTTGTCTTTCTGCAGATGGTTTGGGAGAGTGGCTGCACGGTGGTGGTGATGCTCACCCCGCTCATGGAGAACCGCGTGGAGCACTGCTACCGCTACTGGCCCGAGGAGGGCTCCCGCACCTACCACGTCTACGAGGTGCGACGCCTCCTCGCGCCAGCACCCCCCCCCCCTCCACGCCTCGTGGCACCTTCCCAAACCTGCCTGCACCTGTCCACACCTGTCCACACCTGTCCACACCTGTCCACACCTGTCCTTCTCAAGACAACACTGATCCCACACCTCACTCACCACAAGGTATTGGTCTTTACCACATCGAATGGCTTGCAGCGCATTTCGCTACAAACACTCAGAGAGGATTCACGGAGGACTTCCCATCGTGCGGTTCTGGTACCTTGGACAGCGGCGCCAGACGCAGCTGAGACGGGGCCGGTGGCTCTGAGCTCCAACAACCCGCAAAGCAAAACTGCTTGCACCTTCCCATGCCTATCTGCATCATCATCATCATAGTCAGTCACGGTCAGCCACGAACGATCCACTGCTGGACGAAGCACCCCCCCCCCCTACCAACCCGCTGCCATCTCTCACAATCCTGCGATGTGGCGACCTCTCGGATGCGTTCCATTTATTCTGCCGCCTTACTTTCGAAAAATACGAATCACAAGATACCCCCCCCCGCCCCCCCCCTTGTCCAGGTGAACCTGGTGTCGGAGCACGTGTGGTGTGAGGACTTCCTGGTGCGCTCGCTCTACCTGAAGAACGCGCTCACGGCCGAGACGCGCACCCTCACGCAGTTCCACTACCTGAGCTGGCCCGACCAGGCGGCGCCCTCCTCCGCCGCCTCCCTGCTCGACTTCCGCAGGCAAGAGCCGCCCTCGCTCCGGTGCTGCTGATGGCGGTGGTGGTGGTGGTGCTGGTGGTGCTGCTGGTACTCGTGGTGGTGGTACTGCTGATGGTGGTAGTGATGGTGCTGCTGGTGGTGATGGTGCTCGTGGTGGTGGTACTGCTGATGGTGGTAGTGATGGTGCTGCTGCTGGTGATGGTGCTCGTGGTGGTGGTACTGCTGATGGTGGTAGTGATGGTGCTGCTGCTGGTGATGGTGCTCGTGGTGGTGATGGTGCTCGTGGTGGTGGTACTGCTGATGGTGGTGGTGATGGTGCTGCTGCTACTGATGATGCTCGTGGTGGTGGTGGTGGTGATGGTACTGCTGATGGTTGTTGTGATGGTGCTGGTGGTGATGGTGCTGCTGGTAATGAAGGTGCTGATGATGATGGCACTGCTGGTGGTGATGGTGGTCATGGTGGTGATGGCGCTGCTACTGCTCCTGCTGGTGGTGATGGCACTGCTACTGATGCTGTTCCTGCTGGTGGTGATGATTTTCTTACAACTCAAATATGATCTCCATCGCCCGTGGGAAGCCCTGGTGCGGTTTTATGACCGGCTACTGCCACCACCGGGATGGTGCCAAGCCAGGAGCCAATTAGTCTCTTGGCTTTGACGTCGGCGATGCCCCAGTCGGTGCCGCCGCTTCTCCTCTCGAGTGAAGTTCGATTCCAGGAAGGGGCATCTGCCGTTGTCCAGAACAGTCGGCGTGGTCGTAGCCGCGGTGGCGGTCAGGATCTTCGTGGACGGGCATCGTCGTGCTTGTGAGGAGGGACCGTAGGACTGTAGGAGGAGGACTGTAGGAGTGCTGTGTATGAGTACAGGCGGCCACACTGGGAGTAGCGTTGACCGCTGAGTTCGGCGGTGATGATTCACAAGGCGGCGATCAGCTGGGTGCCAGCGAGGTTCGTGTGGACCTCCTTCCCCATTCTGTTGCGCAACACTGCAGTGGTGGTGGTCTCAGGTAGTCGTGGTTGTGACGGTAGTGGTGAGGACGATGAGACACCCCTGTCATTCATCAGTGGCCAAGCGAAGTGGTTGGTGGATCGCGCATGGATTGAGTCTGTGTGAGACACCAACGTGCGGTGACTGTAGGCGGCAGATCATCATCAACCATGGTCAATCCACTGCTAGGTGAAGGCCTCTCCAAGCCACCACCACCTCACACGATCCCGCGGTGCAACAATCCACCCTGCACACGAACTCACCTCATTGCTCCATCTTCTTCGTAGGCGTCCTCTTAGACACATTCTATACCGTGGCTGCCACTCTGCGGTGATGATCACCTTTCTTGAGAGTGTAATTGATGACAGTACAGCAAGTAGGTTCATGATGTAACACAGCCAGAATGCCCCATCTCCATCAGCTGCCGCCCTCATCAGGCAGCCCGGGCACCGAGGTGGCCGCGAGGGGTGAGGATCGACAGCGACTTAGCGGGAGCGCCACGCGGCGCCGGGCGTCGTGATCGGGCGTAGGGCGATCTCCCGTGCAGTCACCGCCCACTTGCCCGCTCTTCCCACTCTCCCACTCGCTCTTCCCACTCGCCCACTCTCCCACTCGCCCTCTCTTCCCACTCGCCCACTCGCCCAATCTCCCACTCGCCCTCTCTTCCCACTCGCCCACTCGCCCTCTCTTCCCACTCGCCCACTCAACCCACCCATCCATTGCTCACACACTCACCTAGGTGTGTGTGCGAGAGAGAGAGACGCGGGGAGAGCAAGTAGCAGTGGGACGGGGGGAGAGCGAGAGAGAGTGTAAATGTGAGGGTGTAAATGTGAGGGTGTAAATGTGAGAGTGTAAATGTGAGGGTGTAAATGTGAGAGTGTAAATGTGAGAGTGTAAATGTGAGAGTGTAAATGTGAGAGTGTAAATGTAAGGGTGTAAATGTGAGAGTGTAAATGTGAGGGTGTAAATGTGAGGGTGTAAATGTGAGAGTATAAATGTGAGAGTGTAAATGTGAGTGTGTAAATGTGAGTGTAAATGTGAGAGTGTAAATGTGAGTGTAAATGTGAGGGTGTAAATGTGAGTGTAAATGTGAGAGTGTAAATGTGAGAGTGTAAATGTGAGGGTGTAAATGTGAGTGTAAATGTGAGAGTGTAAATGTGAGGGTGTAAATGTGAGAGTGTACATGTGAGTGTAAATGTGAGGGTGTAAATGTGAGTGTAAATGTGAGAGTGTAAATGTAAGGGTGTAAATGTGAGAGTGTAAATGTGAGAGTGTAAATGTGAGGGTGTAAATGTGAGGGTGTAAATGTGAGAGTGTAAATGTGAGTGTGTAAATGTGAGGGTGTAAATGTGAGGGTATAAATGTGAGGGTGTAAATGTGAGAGTGTAAATGTGAGAGTGTAAATGTGAGAGTGTAAATGTGAGAGTGTAAATGTGAGGGTGTAAATGTGAGAGTGTAAATGTGAGAGTGTAAATGTGAGAGTGTAAATGTGAGGGTGTAAATGTGAGAGTGTAAATGTGAGGGTGTAAATGTGAGTGTAAATGTGAGAGTGTAAATGTGAGGGTGTAAATGTGAGAGTGTAAATGTGAGTGTAAATGTGAGGGTGTAAATGTGAGTGTAAATGTGAGAGTGTAAATGTAAGGGTGTAAATGTGAGAGTGTAAATGTGAGAGTGTAAATGTGAGAGTGTAAATGTGAGGGTGTAAATGTGAGAGTGTAAATGTGAGTGTGTAAATGTGAGTGTAAATGTGAGAGTGTAAATGTGAGGGTGTAAATGTGAGGGTGTAAATTGTGAGGGTTGTAAATGTGAGGGTGTAAATGTGAGAGTGTAAATGTGAGTGTAAATGTAAGGGTGTAAATGTGAGTGTAAATGTGAGAGTGTAAATGTGAGAGTGTAAATGTGAGGGTGTAAATGTAAGGGTGTAAATGTGAGGGTGTAAATGTGAGAGTGTAAATGTGAGGGTGTAAATGTGAGGGTGTAGATGTGAGGGTGTAAATGTGAGGGTTGTAAATGTGAGTGTAAATGTGAGAGTGTAAATGTGAGGGTTGTAAATGTGAGAGTGTAAATGTGAGGGTGTAAATGTGAGGGTGTAAATGTGAGGGTGTAAATGTGAGTGTAAATGTGAGGGTGTAAATGTGAGGGTGTAAATGTGAGAGTGTAAATGTGAGAGTGTAAATGTGAGGGTGTAAATGTGAGAGTGTAAATGTGAGGGTGTAAATGTGAGGGTGTAAATGTGAAAGTGTAAATGTGAGGGTGTGAATGTGAGGGTGTAAATGTGAGTGTAAATGTGAGGGTGTAAATGTGAGGGTGTAAATGTGAGTGTAAATGTGAGTGTAAATGTGAGGGTGTAAATGTGAGAGTGTAAATGTGAGAGTGTAAATGTGAGGGTGTGAATGTGAGGGTGTAAATGTGAGGGTGTAAATGTGAGGGTGTAAATGTGAGTGTAAATGTGAGAGTGTAAATGTGAGGGTGTAAATGTGAGAGTGTAAATGTGAGAGTGTAAATGTGAGGGTGTGAATGTGAGGGTGTAAATGTGAGGGTGTAAATGTGAGTGTAAATGTGAGACTGTAAATGTGAGGGTGTGAATGTGAGGGTGTAAATGTGAGGGTGTAAATGTGAGGGTGTAAATGTGAGGGTGTAAATGTGAGAGTGTAAATGTGAGGGTGTGAATGTGAGTGTAAATGAGAGTGTAAATGTGAGAGTGTAAATGTGAGGGTGTAAATGTGAGGGTGTAAATGTGAGGGTGTAAATGTGAGGGTGTTAATGTGAAGGTGTAAATGTGAGGGTGTAAATGTGAGTGTAAATGTGAGGGTGTAAATGTGAGGGTGTAAATGTGAGGGTGTAAATGTGAGGGTGTAAATGTGAGTGTAAATGTGAGAGTGTAAATGTGAGGGTGTGAATGTGAGGGTGTAAATGTGAGGGTGTAAATGTGAGTGTAAATGTGAGGGTGTAAATGTGAGTGTAAATGTGAGAGTGTAAATGTGAGAGTGTAAATGTGAGGGTGTGAATGTGAGGGTGTAAATGTAAGGGTGTAAATGTGAGTGTAAATGTGAGTGTAAATGTGAGTGTAAATGTGAGTGTAGATGTGAGGGTGTAAATGTGAGGGTGTAAATGTGAGTGTAAATGTGAGTGTAAATGTGAGGGTGTGAATGTGAGAGTGTAAATGTGAGGGTGTAAATGTGAGAGTGTAAATGTGAGTGTAGATGTGAGGGTGTAAATGTGAGGGTGTAAATGTGAGTGTAAATGTGAGTGTAAATGTGAGTGTAAATGTGAGTGTAGATGTGAGGGTGTAAATGTGAGGGTGTAAATGTGAGTGTAAATGTGAGTGTAAATGTGAGGGTAAATGTGAGGGTGTGAATGTGAGAGTGTAAATGTGAGGGTGTAAATGTGTGAGTGTAGATGTGAGGGTGTAAATGTGAGGGTGTAAATGTGAGTGTAAATGTGAGTGTAAATGTGAGTGTAAATGTGAGTGTAAATGTGAGAGTGTAAATGTGAGTGTAAATGTGAGTGTAAATGTGAGTGTAAATGTGAGAGTGTAAATGTGAGGGTGTGAATTTGAGGGTGTAAATGTGAGGTTGTAAATGTGAGGGTGTAAATGTGAGAGTGTAAATGTGAGTGTAAATGTGAGTGTAAATGTAAGGGTGTAAATGTGAGGGTGTAAATGTGAGGGTGTAAATGTGAGGGTGTAAATGTGAGAGTGTAAATGTGAGTGTAAATGTGAGTGTAAATGTGAGTGTAAATGTGAGAGTGTAAATGTGAGGGTGTAAATGTAAGGGTGTAAATCTGAGGGTGTAAATGTGAGGGTGTAAATGTGAGGGTGTAAATGTGAGGGTGTAAATGTGAGAGTGTAAATGTGAGTGTAAATGTGAGGGTGTAAATGTGAGGGTGTAAATGTGAGGGTGTGAATGTGAGAGTGTGAATGTGGGTGTAAATGTGAGGGGTGCAAATGTGAGTGTAAATGTGAGTGTGTAAATGTGAGGGTGTAAATGTGAGAGTGTAAATGTGAGGGTGTAAATGTGAGGGTGTAAATGTGAG